AAAAAAAAAAGAAAGAAAAAACGTGGAATCTCTGCATGCCAAGAACAGCAGTCAAATCAAAGATCAATGAACCTACTTGATCTTAGCATATGGGAAGCACCAAACCCCAGAACCTCTTAAGCACCTTCATTTTCTTGGCATGTAGTTTCTCTTCCTTCAGGTGCTCACGAAGAATCTCTCGATGGTTCACCTCCTGCTCTTGAGCAAACTCACAGAGTGTATAGCTGCGTACAGAGTTATGGCGCTGGGCCATGCCCAGAGAGCTACCACCTTGGCTGGGCACACTGGTGAAACCCTGGCGCCGGGCAAAGTAGTATACAGTCACTTGATCAAAGCGCACGTTCTTCCTCCGCAGCTGCTTCTGCCGCTTCAGGATGGATGTGGCTGAGAAGAGAGCACAGATAGGTGTTATTAACCCAGAGGTAGCCTGTTTAGGGACTTGGTTCTCTCTCTTCTGCTAGGCTTTCAACTTGTCTTCTCCAAAATGTGTTTCCTCTACCTGGAGAACTTTTAGTATTTTCAAATCACATATGCATAGTCAGAAGGGACCCTGAACCTCAGCTAGTTCATACCATTGCCTCCAGACTGACTTCACCTCATCTGATGACCACAAAATCTATTTTGAGACACCAACTGTGAAGAGGCCTCTACGTAGTATTTTCAGGATACAACAATCTATAGTTTTATAGTCTAATACAATAGCTACTAGCCACATGTGCCAATTTAAGTTTAATTAAAACTAAATACAATTAAAAATTCAGGGTGGTGCCTGTGGCTCAGTGAGTAGGACTCCAGCCCCATATACCAAGGGTGGTGGGTTCAAACCTGGCCCCAGCCAAACTGCAACAAAAAAATAGCTGGGCGTTGTGGTGGGCGCCTGTAGTCCCAGCTACTTGGGAGGCTGAGGCAAGAGACACGCCCAAGCCCAAGAGCTAGAGGTTGCTGTGAGCTGTGACGCCATGGCACTCTAACTAAGGCAATAAAGTGAGACTCTTATCTCTAAAATAAATAAATAAAATTAAAAATTCAAACTGGATGTGGCAGCTCATGCCTATAATCCTAGTACTCTGGGAGGCCAAAGTGGGTGGACTGCTTGAGCTCAGGAGTTCAAGACCAGCCTAAAAAGGACTGAGACCCCATCTCTACAAAAAATAGAAAACTTAGCCAGGAGTTGTAGTGGGTGCCTATAGTCCCAGCTACCCAGGAGGCTGAGGCAGGAGGACTGCTTGAGCTCAGGAGTTTCAAGTTGCTGTGAACTATGAAGATGTCACTGAACTCTAGCCTGGGTAATAGAGTGGACTCTGTATCAAAAAAAAAAAAAAAAAAAAAAGCAGCACCTATACCTCAGTGGGTAGGGCACCGGCCACATACAAGGAGGTTGGTAGGTTCGAACCAGGCCTGGGCCAGCTAAAGCAACAATGGCAACTGCAACAAAAAAAATAGCTAGGCGTTGTGGTGGGCGCCTGTAGTCCCAGCTACTTGGGAGGCTGAGGCAAGATAATCACTTCAGCCTCAGAGTTTGAGGTTGCTGTGTGCTGTGATGCCCCGGCACTATAGCAAGGGTGACATAGTGAGACTCTGTCTCAAAAAATAAATAAATAAATGAATGAATATAAATACAGGCAGTGAGGGCTCGGTGCCTGTAGCTTAGCAGCTAGGGTGCTGGCCACATACACTGGGGCTGTTGAGTTTGAGCCCAGCCTGGGCCTGCCAAACAACAATGACAACTACAATAAAAAAAATAGCCTGGCCTTGTGGCAGGCGCCTGTAGTCCCAGAGCTTGACACCACAGCACTCTACCAGGGGTGACATAGTGAGACTCTGTCTCAAAAAACAAAAAAACAGGCTCGGCGCCTATAGCTCAACCGGCTAAGGCGCCAGCCACGTACACCTAAGGTGGCAGGTTCGAATCCCCAGCCCAGACCCGCCAAACAACAATGACGGCTGCAACCAAAAAATAGCCAGGCGTTGTGGCGGGCGCCTGTGGTCCCAGCCACTTGGGAGGCAGAGGCAAGAGACTCGCTTGAGCCCAGGAGTTGGAGGTTGCTGTGAGCTGTAATGCCATGGCACTCTACCCAGGGGGACAGCTTGAGGCTCTGTCTCACAAAAAAAAAAAACAAAAAAAAACATGCAGTGGGCCATACTTGGCCCATGGGCAACCCCTGATGTGTAGTATCAGACGTTCTTTCCAAGAACTAACTGACCCTTAATTTAAAAATCTGGGCTGGGGGCAGTGAGTTGCTCATGCCTATCATGCTAGCACTTTGGGAGACCAAGATAGGAGGACTATTTGAGGACAGGAGTTTTAGATCAGCCTGAGGAAGGATGAAACCCTGTATCTACAAAAAAATAGAAAATTTAGCCAGGCATGATGGCATGTACCTGTAGTCCCAGCTATTCTGAAGGTTGAAGCAGAAGGATTGCTTGAGCTTAGGAGTTAGAGGCTGCAGTGAGGTAGTATGAGGTCAATGCATTCCAGCCTAAGGGACAGAGCAAGGCTCTGTCTCATAAAAACAAAAAAATCTGGAGTTGCCCCAGTTGTCCAGGCAGTAAGCATTTATGTCCTACTATAGCTATAATTTCCTGGAACTATCTGGCACTCTGGTGGGGGAAGGGTAGAGTCCTAGATTCTTCCTCCTTCAATCTAATTCAGCCCATTCTAGGGATCCACAAAGCACATCACTAATAAAATTAGCTAGAATAAATCAGACTTTAGTCTAGGATATTAGAAGAACAAGATCCTCCAAAAAGCAAAGAAAGATTACGATCAAGGGCAAATCCCCAAGATAGATAGAATCTGTTTCAACAGCTCTCTGATGGTTGGTGAATGTGGGTTCAAGCAGAGGGAGCAGCTCACTCACGTGTGAAGCTCGCAGTTGTAGGAGGATTGAGGCTGTCGCAGCTGTCAGCACTGTCACTGCTGGAGATCTCATCATCTGAGTTGGAAACTGATGAGCCCACATCCACATCATCAAACTTCCTCTTGAGACCCGAGCCCGTGAATGCATCCATTGGTTTCAAAAGGGTTTCCTTGGGGAGTCAACCACGTTGGCCCGAGAGCCCCTGCTCACCAACAGCTAGCCAGGTACATTAGGATTCTGCCCAGGGGAAAAGAGGAATCAGCATTTCTGTCTGAAGCCAGACCTTCCCAAGTCTATGCACATAGCTCTCCAACTGAAGAGAGCAAGCACCTGACCCAGCACTGATGTCTGGTTTCTCAAGATTAGGTCATTTCTCTACTGATTCCAGCCAACATTCTCCTGCCTTTTATTCCCCCTCAGCCCCTCCAGTCTTTTTTTTTTTCTTTTTCAGTTTTTGGCCAGGGCTGGGTTTGAACCCACCACCTCCAGTATATAGGGCCGGCGCCCTACTCCTTTGAGCCACAGGCACCACACAGCCCCACCAGTCTCATCACTCTTAGAATAATGAGATAAGTAGCAAGAGCACCCTTCCCAGTGGAGAGAAGGCCTTTGGTTCCAATCCAGCTGTGCTCTAAGCTTCATTAGCCCAGAGATAACAGTAGCTGTTCTGATCACAGAGGAGAGCTCTCCAAGGGACTAGCAGGAGGGACTGGGGATCAAAAGCAGACTTACGCTTTGCCTAAACCAAGACTAGACCCAATTATTCTTCCTAGTGATAAAACAGCCTAACGTTTTCCGAAGTATGTATCTTTTTTTTTTTTTTTTTTGAGACAAGAGCCTCAAGCTGTCTCCCTGGGTAGAGTGCCATGGCATTTCAGCTCACAGCAACCTCCAACTCCTGGGCTCAAGCGAGCCTCCTGCCTCAGCCTCCCAAGTAGCTGGGACCACAGGCGCGTGCCACAATACCTGGCTATTTTTTGGTTGTAGCCGTCATTGTTGTTTGGTGGGCCCAGGCTGGATTTGAACCTGCCACCTTGGGGATACGTGTCTGGCGCCTTAGCCACTTGAGCCATAGGCACCAAGCCCTGAAGTGTGTATCTTAAATACACTAGTTCCACGGACAGTCATAGCTTTCACATGGAAACAGGACTGCTGTCAAGAGTTGAGAAAACTGGCTCAGTGCCTGTGGCTCAAGTGGCTAAGGCTCCAGCCACATACACCTAAGGTGGCGGGTTCAAATCCCCAGCGCGGGCCCGCCAAACAACAATGATGGCTGCAACCAAAAAACGGCCAGGCGTTGTGGCGGGCGCCTGTAGTCCCAGCTACTTGGGAGGCTGAGGCAGGAGACTCGCTTGAGCCCGGGAGTTGGAGGTTGCTGTGAGCTGTGATGCCATGGCACTCTACTCAGGGGGGCAGCTTGAGGCTCTGTCTCAAAAAAAAAAAAAAAAAAAAAGAGTTGAGAAAACTGATTATGGCAAAACCTCTCCGGGCAGTGGTTCTCAACCTTCCTAATGCCGCAGCCCTTTAATACAGTTCCTGTGGGTCACAACCCACAGGTTGAGAACCGCTGTCTTAGAAGGTTTAATATATTAATGAGGATGGTGAAGCCTGAGAGAAAACATAGAATACAGTATTTCTACAAACCTGATTATGGAACCCACTGTTTGTTCCAAAGAAGGAGGCAAATAATTCTTGGAACACATTTTGGGAAATACAGCTCCAGGCACTCAATTTTGAAGCATACTGAAGTTGGGAAAACCCTTTAAAGTATCTCACCAGCTTTTTAGAAAGGTCAAATTTGGTACTAAAGAAAGGACCCAAGATTAGAATCTGCACTGGCTCCAATACCCAGAATCTTTCCCAATTTCATATGTTCCACAAAATAGGACTCATCTAATTTATTATCATCCTGTGTAATATAAACCTATCTTTACGATCTTTGCTCTCTGTAAAGAAACCAGCAAGGGGAAAATAGCAAAGGTGATGTACTCTGGTTACATCAATACTGAAAGCAGTGTTTCCAACACACCTTCACAAAACCAAGGAGTATAAAACTATTCCCCAGGTATACATCTTCTGCCTTCTCTGTCGGGGGACTTAAGTCCAGAAGGGCATGAATCTGCTCAGCAGAAATGCTGCCAGAGCCAGAGCCATAGTCATGTGTGATGAGGAACGAAGCCTCCCTTGCTTTGCCTCAGTAATGCCAGAATCTCCCCAGACTATGATCTCACTAGTTGCTAATTATGCAGCAGAAATAACAACACTGCCCGGAACGACAGGGCTGCATTACTGCAGAATAGCTACCCAGAATATACTGTGGTGTCAAGAGATGCCTGCTACAGTGCTGTTTTTCTAGACTGTGTCTCTTGGAAGCGATTTGCCTGCTCTTAGATCAGCTCTACAAAGTCAACCAGACTTAATAAGTACTTCAGAGAAGTTATTTCCTAATCTATCCAGATCGCATCAAATTCTCCATTCAAGTCACAAGATGGACCTAAGAAATCTCTACCATCACAGGTCTTAAACAAGCATTTCCTAAAATAAATTTGGCTAGGTAGGGGGAAAATTAATCAAGTATTTGGTAAGAATTGTAATTAAATTTTTAAATGAGCCTAAAGTTCTGTTTTCCAGGCTATTGCTCTTTCCCTCAGAGGGCACATTCTTAGGACACTGTCAGAATGGAGACAGCCAAGGGCTTGCTATGGGTTATGATTTTAGCTAAGTTTAAAGATATCGATCAACAAATATCCCATTCCTTGACTGTGGAAGGGCAGGGGAATCCCTTGTAGAACATCTGTATGTAGGATGACAAAAAAACAAAAAAAAAAACAAAAAAAACCAGGAGCAGCGCCCACAGCTCAGTAGGTAGGGCGCCAGTCACATACAGTGAGGCTGGCAGATTCAAACCCAGCCCAGGACAGTTCAAACAACAATGACAACTGCAACAACAAAAAAATAGCCGGGCATTGTAGTGGGCGCCTGTAGTCCCAGCTACTTGGGAGGCTGAGGCAAGAGAACTGCTTAAGCCCAAAAGTTTGAGATTACTGTAAACTATGACGCCACGGCACTCTACCCAGGGTGACTCTGTCTCAAAAAACAAAACAAAACAATGTTGAGTACTAAATTTAATTTTTGCTCCTCACTTAATAAATACCTGATCAACCATGAGCTAAAAATGTGCTTTCTCAGAAAGGGCTCCAGTCCCATGTCAGTTTTAACTGAGCTCAAGTCGGTACTGCTAGTAGCGACGAGTGGCTTTTCCTTGGTCTGAAGCATCAGGGATTTATGACAAAGCAAATGTACACCCTGTTCTTTCCCCAGGTGTCCTTGCTTTGCTTCTGGAAGTGAAGGTGTCCTCTGAGTATTTCCCCTTAAGCCTCAAATAAGCTTTAATCTGGTCCAAAATCATGTCTGGTACTAACACTCTCCATCTTATTAATCCAGCTGCCCTCAGGAGCAGCACTTCTCTTTGGGTTACTTTGTGTGCACTCAGGTGCCACAAGGATTGCTGGTTGCTTGTTCATTCTTCTCCTTTTATTCTGTGTCTGCCCCACTTCTACTTCTGGAACAATGCTTTCTGGGCAATGACAGGAGGTAGGTAAGAAAGGAGAAAAAAAGAAAAAAGATGTGACACCTAAGAGAAAAAATATATCCTTTAAGCTATCTGAGTGTAATCAGAATGTATGGCTATATGTGTAAATAATGTGCATGCTGACCGGTGATTTAAGTATTCCATTAACTTGGATGGCACTCAGGAAAATCCTCAAGGAGACTCCACTGCTCTAGCTCTCTTCACCCTATCCAGGATCTGTTGGCATCACTTTCTCTGACATTAACTCCATTATTTAAAGAAAAAAATCCGTGTTGCTGTGTGGCATCTGTGGTTCAGTGAGTACGGCGCCGGCCCCATATACCAACGGTGGTGGGTTCGAACCCGGCCCTGGCCAAACTGCAACAAAAAATAGCTGGGTGTTGTGGTGGGCGCCAGTAGTTCTAGCTACTCAGGAGGCTGAGGCAAGAGAATCACCTAAGCCCAAGAGTTGGAGGTTGTTGTGAGCTGTGATGCCACAGCACTCTACCAAGAGCACCAGAAAAAAATAGATTTGTTCTGTCTCAAGAAAAAAAAATAGATAAATAAATAAATAATCCATGTTGTATCTTGACAACGAATATAATAAGTTTAAATTTCAACCCAGCTCTCCCTGTCCAGCTCTCTGGTGTGAACTTGACTTTTAGATAAAGATGCTGGGTACCAAGAAGAAACCTCCCACTCACTTCCATCCTGTCCTGAAGAAATCTTTCTTTGCAACTGTAACAACTAGAATAGCTTCCATACGTTTCAATTCATCAAGTTAATCTTTCAAACCACAACTAGAAATCAGTCATTCCTACTTCTTTTTTCTTTTTTGAGACAGAGCTTTACTTTGTCACCCTTGGTAGAGTGCTATGGCATCACAGCTCACAGCAACCTCCAGCTCTTGGGCTTAGGCTACTCTTGCCTCAGCCTCCCGAGTAGCTGGGACTACAGGCACCCGCCATAACGCCCGGCTATTTTTTAATTTTTTTGTTGCAGTTTGGCCGGGGCCGGGGCCAGGTTTGAACCCACCACCCTCCGTATATGGGGCCTGCACCCTACTCACTGAGCCACAGGTGCTGCCCCATTCCTGCCTCTTTCAACTATTCCTTGATAGAGAATCAATGCCTGTGTTCAAGAGACACACTGCTAAGTTATACTCCAAGCACTTAAGTGCTTACAGAAGAAATCAGAGTGAGCCTGGAAATTCAGGTCAAAACTGACAGTTAACTGTCACAATGACCAGCTCAAACAACAAATGGTTTTTGAACAGATAATGCAACCCTCTATAAAAGTTTTTAAATGCCAGTGAAATGAAAGGTCAGTTGACAATTTCTGGCTCCACGCCTTATAGTCTTTTCTTAAGTGTTTCTAGCCGGACATTTCCCAGAGGTATACGAAATAGTTCAGATACAGAGCATATAAAATACACAAGGGTAGCACCAGTATGTGTGTTTTAGTACTAGATCTAAGTTTTTTAGGCCTACAAGGACTCCTCTAACCACCAAAACAAACTTATTTTAAACCTAGCATATGTGAGACTAGCAAGAGCGACTGTCCAGGAAAAATTTTGTGCAAGAATGTACCTGCAAAATTTAAGTAATGTAAGCCTCTTTTAAAAATGAGTCCAAAATAAAAAGGCAAGATACATGTCATAGGAGAAAGCATTGCTTCTCCAACTCGACTGGAACCCAATCTTCTGCTAAAGGTCAAGGGACCGAAATTTCCAGTTAAAAGATCAGCAGGGCTACCATCTGTAGCTGGTTGAGACTAAGGAAGGGTTGCTGTTAAGTGTTACGATAAACCTGAATTAGATGACCTGCCCTGGTTATCTATACACAATATAATGTGGTTGATTCTCAAATACTATGAATTTCATAGATGCGTATGTCCTTGTGATCACTAGGATCATGAACTTATAAAGCACCAAGAAAAACCCTTCAGTTTAAGTATTTAAAGAAAACCCTCCATCCACCCCCACTCCGTTTTTTAACCCATTCACTAACAAGCGTAGAATTTGGCTTTCCCTGCCTAAGCTACCATCGCATGGAGGACGCGAGATCTTTCTGGGAGAACTGGAACATGATGCTGCATTAACTCTCAAGGATATCCAGTCGTTTATAACTCTGGCAGACACCAACACCCTTGCTTTGGAGATTTGCAAGATAAAAAGCTGGTAAAGAAAGGGAAAAATCTTTATCAACTATAGATTTACCATGAAAACTGCAGGACAAGGGGACAGTGCTGTCTTTGGGAATAACTTCTAACATTTCATATTGAAGAACGGTTTGTGTGTCACACTGTCACCCTAAAGCCTTTTTAAAAGGATGAATCAAGAAAACAGCACTAAAAGAGACGGATGGTAGTCTGCTACGTGCTTGGGCCTGTGAAAAGATCAAGCTAGCAACCAGGGCAAGAGATGCTTTCATTTTCTCACACAACGCCGGAAAAATGGGAGATATCTGAACCAGCGCTTAAGGGGCATTTCAAGTCACCAGTTTCCTTTCATGAACACCCCTGCTCGCAGCTCTCGGGCCATTTCTCTCAGATTCCTGCTAACCTTCCCGCTCATTCTAATCGTCTGCAGCCCCTACCCAGCCTTCCTCATCCCTTCCTGCCTGCTACTCACAAATTCCCAACCACTCCTCCCACATTTTCTTCTGTTCCCCCTCCCCTTCCTTCACTTTCCTCCATCCTACATCGTTATCCTCTCTACTCGAAACTCAGCCCTCATCCGCAATCCTACTGGCTTTAAGCCCCCCATCAGTGTCCCCGAGCTGCCTCTGCAGTCCAGGCCCGCGTCCTCGGTGCCCCTTGCTCCCATGCCTCTTCCCGACTCTGTCCCTTCCCAGCGGCACTCTAGCTCCCCGCCCCCCGACCGCTCGCGTCCGAGCCTCCCTCATTTCTGACCCCTCCATCTGCACCGCTCTGGGCTTGACCACTCCTCCGCAGCCGCCCGAAAGCCGATCTCGAGAAAGGTCGAGGCGGCACCCTTTGCCCCGCACCCCCAGGCCCATTACCGGCCCCGCCGCAGCTGCCTCCTCCTGTGATGGTCTCCGCCGCCCCCGCTGCCGCCGCCGCCCTAGCCCGGGTAGAAAGGAGGGAGAATCAAGCGAGTCCCGGGCCCTGCGGCGACCGTCGGGGAGCTCCCAGGGTGGCAGGGCGGGGAGGGAGGGCTGGTGGGCAGGCCGGCCGGCAGGCGGCGGGGGGCGGGCGGCTCCGGCAACTCGGGCGCCCCCGGCAGCAGAAGCCCAGAACCGCCCCGGCTCTGGCTAACAATAGGCTCCGGCCGCAGCGCTCCGGCTCTTATAGGCGCCGGCACGTCCTGGACGAGCCCCGGGGCAGGCTGGGAAATGGAGTCTACGTGCCAGCCCCACGCCCAGCAGCATGCTGGGAGTTGGAGGCGGTGACTGCAGCAAAGCCAAAGCCGGCAGGCAAATGGGACTTCGGAGGCGGCGGCTCTGCTGCAGCTGCCCCTGGGAAAGCCAGTTTGATGCCACTGCAGTCTTTTCAAAAGGAAGAAAGGAGACCCTCAGCTATGATCCTCAATGACTAAACGAATTCTTTTTTAAAGCTCATTTCCTTTTCGCCAGGGCCACACTCAAGGAGCATAATCTCCTTGCTTATGGGGTCCTAAGTGGTCAGCAGCATGACTTGTTGCAACCTGCCCAAGTTATAAAGAAGAAAATACAAGAAATATCTTGAGTTATCCACTTATACGATGGACTGATTGTTTTGTGCCCCCCCCCATTTTTTTTGCCATTATCTTATCTTTGAAATTTTGCAACCCATTTTTAAGATGGGGAACACAAAACAAAAATGTCAAAAGTTATGATTTGCCGAGGATACGTAGTTTTGTTTTTTTCTGTCCTTCTCTTGAACTATAAGGCTCTGCAAGATCTAGGTGCATTAGCTTGTCCCACCCCTCTGTCATTCTGTTTCCTTTTACTTTCCTCCTCGGCTTCAATACCGTGATACAGTGACCTCCTTTGCACTTCAACAGGATAATTATGCTCTTGCTTTAAGGCCTTTTGCCTGGAACTCTCTTCCACCAGTTAGCCACATGCTTACTCCCTCATTTAACACCTGCTAAAATGTCCCCAAGTCAGAGAGCACCCTTAATTGTATTTCTTTTTGGGG